TTGGGACAACATTTGTTACTATGGAGCTGTCAGTCTGATCTGAAAACGAAGCCTGACTTATATTTCATCTCTGTGGGAAAATTTGTGCAGAGGACCAAATACTCAACTTCCAGATGTAGAGCTTGTTCTGGTTTGGAGCCTTTGGAACTCCATTTCTGGCCGGTAGTCTTGGGTGATTCCCAGCCCTCAGGGAAGAGGTACCTATTCTTCCACATTTATTTCCTATTTTGTTACTGCTCTAAAACTGCCTTTTCATCTGAGGATATGGTGGAAGGACAAGAGAAAGATTCATACTGAGTTCCCCAGAAACATTCCAATATAAGGAAGCTCATCCCTTGAATAATCTGTGATGGTGCAATGGGGAGTGTTTGGTGCCCAGTCCCTTAGTCACGCTTCCACAGAGTCAGTAAGTTCTGGGCACTGGGGCTGTAGGTGATACAAATATTTTCTTTGCTTAAAATTCACTCATAATAATCTGGACCTTTTCTCACTCTCTGCGATATTTACTGTCAGACCACTGAACCTGTCACTTACCATACAGCGAATGCAGGAGTCTGTGTGCAGGTGTCTCTTCCATCGGCTGTGTCCTTTTGGAAGGCAGCACACGTGTTCAGGGAATGAGTGCAGAATGAATCAGTGAATTTGCCCAGAAGCTACTGCACTTCTGGAATATCTCATTTGGTTTCTAGCTATTCCAGTTGTAATTACCAAGCTCTACAACTTTTACTAAAATTTGATGCTTGGTACAAACCACCAGTCAATGAGAACTGTTACCATGAATCAAACAACAGATAGGAACCTTTTATAGCTGTGGAAACATGAGTAAATTCACTCCACATTAGAAAAGAGTATTTTTAATCCTCCCCTAGATGGCCAGGGAAGTGTACCATGAAGAAGTAAGGACCTTGAGACAGAAATGTCTAAGGGAAATGGGCGGAGGTACTTGTGGGAGAGGAGAGGTTTTGAGACAATCTTGATGGAAGAAGTGGTATGAATGAGTTTCATGTAATTGGACAAGGGTCTGCCTCTCTTCTTGTTCTTTAAGGACAATGAGTCAGGATGAAGCTAAAAACATAGAGATTGCCTTTAGATTTCTGATAGGCAGAGCAGTGGCACTGGGTGCTTCCAGGAGGTGGGGAGTAGAGCAGACAGTGGGGCCAGCCCCTTAGAAGGCCAAAAACACAGAAACATGATGAGAAAGGAAAGGGATTTACCAGCTTCATGTCTTAGCCTCTGCAATAACATGAAATTCTATGCTTTTGATGATTAAACATGTTAATGCTTTTCTGTGAGGACTAAAAGGCTTGGTATATTATTGCCAAATTCCCTTAGAAATATCAGTAAGACTTCAAATACCAAGAAGTGCTTTTTTTTTCCTTTCCTTTTACGGATACCATGTGTTCACATTTTAGAATATCTTTGCCACTTTGGTAGTTTAAAAATGGTAATTTGCTTCTTCAATGATTAAAGTGAGTTGAGTTCAAACATTTCTTGCGGTCCATTGGCCATCTGTATTTCTCTCTTTATGAGATGATTTTTTTTATGTGCTTTTAGATAGTAGTGTATATGTAGGGTTCAAAGTAACAACTGTTCTGACTTCTGATACTGTAGATGAGTATTGATTGTTTTAGGTATTTGATGTAAATTCACTCATAATGTCTATTCTTTTGTGTCTGTTTCTGATGTATTTCCTGATTTAATGAAATGTGGGGAATTTTTCTAGTTGTATTGTTACTGATTTGTAGCTTAATTCTACTGTGATTAGAGTACAGTTTGTGATTCTAATCTTTTGAAATTATTGAAACTTTAATACCTGTTGGTTTTTATAAATGTTCCATGTGCATTTGAGCAGAACTTGGATTAGTAGTTCTTTACATTTAAAAAATAAAATGTTGAGAGAGAGAGAGAGAGGGGGGAAGAGAGAGGGAGAGAAAGATAGAAATAAAGTGAGAAACATCTACATTGATTGCCTGCCTCTTGCACGTTCCCCTATTAGGGGGATCCAGCCCACAACTTGGGTATGTGCCCTGACCAGGAATTGAACCAGTGACCTCCTGGTGCTGGGTCAGTGCTCAACCATTGAGCCACAATGGCCTGGCAGATATTTCTTTATTTTGTTGATTAGGACACAATTTAGACATTTTTCTCAAATCTTTTACAACATACTGATTTATTATCTGCTTGTGTCCTATTAGTTATCAAGTGAGATATATTAAAATATCCTATTGTAATTGTAGACTTATCTTTTTTTTCTGTTAATTTTTGCTTTATGTATTGAGAGGGTTATTATTGAGTCTATACAGATTTAGAATTATTTTATTTCTTACTAGATTGACCCTTTTATTATGAAATAACTATTGTTATTAATCTTAATGTTTTTTGCCTTCAAGTTTACTTTGATGTTAGTATTATAGCTACACAATAGCTTTATTTTGGCTAGTAATTGCATTATAAGTAATGGTATATAATTTTCATCCTTTTACTTGCAACATCTTAGTTTTTATTTTATGTGTGATTCTTATAAACAGCTTATTGTTTTGTGATTTTAAAATTATTGTATATTTAATTTTATTATTTCTTCCACTGGATTATATTTAATCTATACTTAATGTAGATACTTTTGTAATTGGATATAAATTTAATATATTATTACTTGTTTTCTCTATGTCTCACATTTTTTTTCCACACCTTTATTTTTTTAATCCTCACCCGAGGATATTTTTTCCATTGATTTTTAATTTTATTTTAGTTTTAAGAGAGTAGAAGGGAGGGAGGGGAAAGATGAGGGGGAAGGGGGGGGAGAGAAAGAGAGAGAGAGAGAGAGAGAGAGGAGAGAGAGAGAGAGGAGAGAGAGGAAGAGAGAGAGAAAGAGGAAAGAAAGAAATATCGATACAAGAGGAACACATTTATTGGTTGTCTCCCACACCCATGTGCCTTTGACTGGGAATGAGCCTGAGACCCTTCAGTGGTTGGGCTGGTGCTCTAACCACTGAGCAACAACCAAGGGCAGTGCTTTCATCACTTTTAACCTAAGTCCTATTTTAATAAAGACTTGATGAAATGTCATCACCTCCTTTTCTTAAAGTTTCAAAATGCAGCAAAAACAAAAGTGGAGTACACTATACCTCTGTTCTCACACTGCCCACCACCCCTGGCATCTCTCCCTGAGTCTCATCAGAGTCCATTTGGCTTATTTTGTTTTGTTATAATGCTGTCACAGATGCTGCATGAGAGCACAGATTTTTGTCTGTTTTGTTCACAGCTTTCCCCAAGTGCCAGCACAAAGTAGGTGCTCCTAAGTACTTGAAGAGTGACTTTGTCAGCACTAGTTTCAGGATGATTTGGGCCCTGTTCTTGTCACTGATGTCACTCAGCAGAATGCTTTCAATAGCCCAGGCTTTCCTTGATAAAGCATACAGTGCCACAGGGGCAGCAGGTAGTGCCGATGCAGAAACAGCAGGCCATGAAGAAGAGCTTGGCTGTGGCGGGCGTGCGGGCGTGCGTGCGTGTCAGGGAAGGCCTTCCCGGCTGAGAAGGATTGTGGCCAGTGTTGCCAAGTATCTTAAGTGCAAGTGGTTCCTATCAGAGGGAGCAGGTGTGTGAGGTAGGCAGAAGTACTTTGTTGGCTTTGGGTGAGGATCAAGACTTTTTTGTTCTAAATGTATTGGGAAGCCATTAAATTTTTAAAGCTAGGAGTGGTATTTGCTCTGATTCTGGCTGCTGCTGGAGACTAGATCTGCAGAGAAGAGTTGGCCAGAATACGTGCGAGCAGGTGAGACAGGGTCCTTTGCTATGACCAGGCAAGGGATGTGGAAGTCTGGCTGGAGCCATGAGGTGGGACACGGGCTGGGTGCAGAGCAGGGCAGTGCAAACAGTTAAACTGTTGTCCTTGTTACCAGTGCCATTCTTTGTTTTACATGACTTGGGAATTCAATAACTGTATTGAAGATCACTGGGGAATTGAGCAATTCATGATAAATGGCTTCCTAGAAAGCATCTGGTCACATTGCACAGGGTGAGACTCAGGCAGCTCTGTACTCTCCCTTTAACAGGAACCTATTGGTAGCCCCTTCCAGTTTCAGAAACTAGACCTCTCCACCTCAGAGACTGACTTCATGGTGGCTGGTGTCCAAGGCTCTGTTCTTTTTTGAGGAGACAGAATTAGTGGAATTCAATTTAGTGAAGGTTTTCTAAACTTAGTAGAACAAGGAGCTTGTCATCTGAGGCAGACAGGTGCTCCTGATGGATTGCAGGAAGCAGGTCAAAGGCTGAGGGTAGGTAGGTGTAGGCTACAAGCTGGCCTGTGTCCCTTGAAGGGCAAGGAGCCTGGAGCACATTCATGCCCACAATGTGGGCAGAGGATGGCCCACATTGCCTGGCAGAGGACAGCGGATTTCCCCCCTCCCCCCCCTTTATTGATTTTTAGAGAGAGAGGAAGGGAGAGGGATAAAGCGATAGAAACATCTATTAGCTTCCTCCTGCGCAGCCTCCACTGGGGATTGAGCCCACAATGTTATGTGTTCTGACCGGGAATTGAACCAGTGACTGCTTGGTTCCTGAGTCAATGCTCAACAGATAAGCCACACTGGCTGGGTGAAGATGGTGGCTCTTGATGGACATTTTACTCCCAGAGCTCTTCACTTCATTCAGTGTGGCCCTGGCCGCTTGCTGTCATACCACCGCCCACTGGTTGCCTGAGCCTTCCTCCTCAGACCCCTCAGGTTGTGGTGCTGGCGTTGGGTGACACATTGGCCCTGGATTTGGTTGAGGCGCACATTGGATGGGGATTGGATACCCTCCCACAGTGGGGCTCTGGGTCCACCACAATCAGAGTTGACTGAGCAGCATAATTATAGGCACTTTCTATCTATTCAATGAGTGAATTGAAAGCAATTACCAAATAATTTATTATGTCATTTGGTACTTAATTAGAAAATTTTATTTTAGTTTGGTTTACTTATATTACTTAAATGAAATATGACATACTTTTTCTGTTTGTTGAATAATAACTTCTAATTAAACAAGTCACTATGGATTACTCCAGACTTCACTGGGCCTAGTGCAGCTGTCTGTTTCACTTTTACCCTTAGGGTCATGGAAGCAGCGGCAGTTGAGTTGGACCTTGAAGAGAAAAAGACAAGTTTTATTGGAATATATCTAAAATGTAAAACCATTAAAAAGAATAATTCTCCTCATTTTTAAAAGCACTAACTCATCCAGTTCCTCCTCATTTCTTACTTATTGCAGTCCAGGGATCTGGACTCCCATCCCCCTATCCTCCTGCCGCACACGGATATGCTGTAGCCAAGCCTGCTCTTTGTTGGGAATGACTGCCTGTGTACAAGTCACCTGGTCTTCCTGGGGCCCCCATCTGGAGCCCTCTCCCCAGTTTTCTCTTTAGATCTGTCTATTCTTCAAAGGTAGGGCAAAAATTTTCTCTTTGGTAAGATCTCCCTGTTCACACCATGGCCTCTGCTCCTTTGGGGCAGTGGTTCCCAAACTTGGCTGTGCCTGAGCACTCTCCAGTACTTAAAAATGGTTCTTGGCACCATCATCAGAGATTCTGGTGCTATTTTACATATGGAAGATTTGTTTAAGTTTTCCATGATTTTTAAATTTTTTAAATTTTATTTTATTGATTTTCCACAGAGAGGAAGGGAGAGAGATAGAGAACCAGAAACATCAATGAGAGAGAAACATCAACCAGTCGCCTCCTGCACACCTTCTCCCAGGGATGTGCCCGCAACCAATGTACATGCCTTTGACCAGAATCCAACCTGGGACCTTTCAGCCCGCAGACCAACACTCTATCCATTGAGCCAAACCGGTTTCGGCAGTTTTCCATGATTTTTAAAAAAATATATTTTTATTGATTTTGGAGAGAGAGGAAGGGAGAGGGAGAGAGAGAGAGAAACATTGATGTGAGAGAGAAACATCAGTTGGCTGCCTCCTGTATGCACCCTGACTGGGGATTGAACCCACAATTCAGGCATGTGCCTGACACCTTTTGGTACATGGGATGGTGCTCAACTAACTGGCCAGGACCATTTCCCATGCATTTGAAGTGTAGCCATGTTTGGGACACTTATGTGACACTGCAAGAGCATAGGCTCCTAGTGGTGTGTGCACTTGGTCACACACACCTACTTACATCTTGCCTTTTACACTTACAGTCCCCTGTGCAAGATACACCCAGCTGTGCCAGTCAGTGGGAGCTCAAAGTCACTTCCTTGTTCATTTCTGTTCAGAGAGGATGTTGAGTCGTTACTTCTTTGCAAAGCCTTGTGGGACAAATGTTCATTATTGTGGCAGATCATGTGGGCCAGCCCCATAGATTAGTCTTACCCACACCTTGAGTGCTGGAGTGAGTGAGACCCGGGAGTTTCCCCAACTGTGTGTTTCTGGATTCTGGTAGCAGCTGTGAAAGGAGCCGGCTCCCTCCTGTGTGTGTGTGTGTGTGTGTGTGTGTGTGTGTGTGTGTGTTTCCACCAAGTTTGACAGCTTGAAAACTTCTTTACCTCTGAGAATATGGGAATAATGTAACAACAAATAGGGCTTTACCCTGGCAACCTAATTGCTGAAATCAAACAGAAACCAACTAGAAAAAAATGCATGGTGTAGAAAGACTTCTTGTTTCTTCTTTTAACAATTCTGTGTTGTGGCAAACCCTGGATGCCTGAGGGCGGACAGAGGTGGATAAATACTTGCCCTGTGCTCAGAGACTTCACAGCCTGTTGGACATGGAAAGAAATAATTATAGTCCCTGTGACAAGTATAATAGAAGAAGTTTCAAAATAGATGGGGGAGGCGGGGGAAGTGGAAGCTTCCCAGAAGGGGACATGTGAGCTGGACTCGAGAGGGAGCTGTTTCTTGCAGAACAGCATGGGAAGAGCCAGCAGGTGCCTCGAATTCAGAGATCTGACAGACTAGCAGTGTGTCCCAAGTACCCAAGGGAGAGGGATAGAGAGCCAGAAACTTATTTCCTGAAGTGTTCAAATCATAAGTAGTGATGTTAGAGGAGATTTAAATAGGGGGAAAAAAGATTCCACAGTAGCTCAGCAGCTGCTTTTTTTCAAGTTCCTTTCAGACTTTTTATTTTATAGGCAAACACTAAGTGATACATATGTAATGCACACGTCATGTATATACCAGTATAATTTATATTTTCGCTTTTATTATTTCATCATAAATGTTTCTTCCTCAGGAGTAATGATTGTTTTTATAGTTGCAGATAATTCATTGTGTAGATAGATGTGTCATAAATGATCAAACTTTACTTACTCCTCAAGTATTTAGGGGCTAAGTATGGTTTTCATTTTTCCTGTTGAAACTCTTCCTGGAGTGAGCATCTTAGGTCCCAGGAAGAAGGACATTTGGGAAAATGCATGTGGTCTCCCCAGCAGAGCAGCTCTGGTGCTGAGCCCTCTTCCCAGGGAGGAGGCAGTTTTCCCTGAGAGGGCAGCCTGTGCTCCCCATCTTTTCACCTCTGTCACCTGCCCTTGAAGTTGGGAAGATAAAACTTCCTTCTCTATTTTATTTGGGTTTGGTTGTGGCTTATAGCTTCACTTGTGGGCATGAGTATGTCTGTATTCTTGCTTCTGTTTACCTTGTTTTAGATGGATCATAATTGGATCTTTAGTGTATTCTAACCTCCTAGAATCTCTGGTGAGTATGTCACCTGTGATAAAGGAATAGAGGAGACCGGGCTGGATTTGATGATGAGAAAGTGGACAGATCAAGGGACCCTGGAATTAAGTGACCAATCTGGTGGAGGAAGAAACGTGAGCAGAAAGCTGGACAGAACAGCTGCTGTCCAGACAGCATGGCCTGGAGAACCGTGGTGGAGGAATTGGAATGTGCTGGGATGAAGGGAGAGGGGACAGTTGGAGGGGGAGGAAGGAGCCTGGGCAGAGGGCAGAAAGTGAGGACTGCATACTTGGCGTCATAGAAGAACAAAATGAAGGGAGATACATGCCCCAGGTTTATTTTTAAATTTCAGGAAAATGAATTGGCCAAATAAAGAGGGTTTTCAGTATAAACTGAATGAGAATTAAATCTAAGATACACATGTTAGAAGGTTGCTTCTGCATAACAGTATATTTAACACTGCATACACAAAAAGGAACTTAATTCTTAGCAGTTAATATTTATTTATCCATTCATTCATTCATTTATTTATTTATTTATTTTTAAATGCCTTGAAACTTTCCTATGGCTTTATTTATTTATTTATTTATTTTAAAAATATATTTTATTGATTTTTTACAGAGAGGAAGGGAGAGGGGTAGAGAAGAAACATCGATGAGAGATAAACATCGATCAGCTGCCTCCTGCACCCCCCTTCCCCCACCAGGGATGTGCCCGCAACCAAGGCACATGCCCTTGACTGGAATTGAACCCAGGACCCTTCAGTCCATAGGCTGATGTTCTATCCACTGAGCCAAACCGGTTTCGGCAGCAGTTAATATTTAGAAAATCATAAAAATGTGTTCATTAGAAATAGGTTCTGCTGCCCTGTTAATTTCCTAGAGCTGCCATAATAATTTGCCATATGGCTTATGCAACATAATGTATCCCTCACACCTCTGTAGGCTAGAAGTCTGAAATCCAGGTGTCAGGTGAAATCCTGTTTCTCACCTCCTCCAGCATCTGGTGGCTTCAGGTGTTCCTTGACTTGTGGCCACATCACTCTAGTCTCTCCTCCATGTTCACATAGCTGTCTCCTCTTTCCCAGGTGTCTTCTCTCATTGACACTAGTCATTGATCTAGGGCCCACCCAAATAATCCAGGATGATTTTACCCCAAGAGCCTTAATTACATATGCAAAGACTCTTCCAAATAAGCTCATAGGCAAAGGTTCTGTGAATTACTGCATGGACATATCTTTTGGGAGGCCATCATTCAACCCACTGCATTTGCTTGTAGGAAAAAATGCCAAGATAAGAATGGTGTAAACACTTGAAGTTCATTCTTTCATGCAAAAAGGTAGTTCTTGTTCGTTATGGTCCTCCAGGGCATCTGGATCCTCCCGGAATTTGATTCTCCTGGTTCAAGATGCTGCAGAGTGCCAGTCACTCCCAGATCCCCTTTTGGGAAATGGGGGATAGGGAGGAGACAAGACTGTGTAGCCTTGCAGAGGTTTGTAGCTTAGGTTCATGGGTTTTCCCCATTCTAAAGGGTCTTGGATATAACTATTTTTATTAAAATTGGTTTCCATTGCAGTCCTAAGTATTTCATTTTCAACATTTAGAGACATTCTGAAAAGGGTTGTATAGGCTTTATCAGACTGTCAAAAGGGGTCTTGGCACAAAAATATATTTTTTCATATATGTACACATACAAGTATAACATATAAGTTTCAGTGTAAATTGAATGAGAGTTATTCTAATGTAGGATATACGTGTTTAGAAGGCTGGCTTCTGCAAAATAGCATATTGAAATCTTGCATATGCTATTGAGATGGAGATCTACGGTGTTTCCCCGAAAATAAGACCTAGCGCATGGAAAAATAAGACATCCCCTGAAAATAAGACCTAGTGCAACTTTGGGAGAAAAAATTAATATAAGACACTGTCTTATTTTTGGGGAAACAGGGTAGCAGGCTTCATTCCTAGCATCATCCTGGTTTCCCCCCATATGAGTCTGGTTCCCCAGAATCTCACCTGGCACTGGAGTTCAGAACAGTCAGGAGCTTGTGTCTCCCTTCTGATTGAAAAAGACAACCATGTTTTCAGTTGCCAGCCCTTTCTGCGCGTGCATTCCTCTGTACCTCTGCACTTTATTTCTGCACCTCCTCTGAGTCTCAGTGTGCTTTTCTCTTTCCTTCTCGTTGTAGAATTTCCACTCATCCAGCCTTCCTGTGGTTCTGGATGATGTCCGTTTTGTCTTTTAGTTGTAGTTTTGAAGTAGTTCTACAAAGCAGCAATTTCAGGTGTTTACCTATGCTACCATCTTGGTTTCTCCCAATGCTTCATCTTTTAAGGCTCCATTTTCTCATCTGTGAACTAGGGATAATACTGATTCATCTCACAGGTCATTTTATTAGGTTTGAAAAAAGTGGCCTCAAAATATTTCTGGCTTTTATCTCCACCACTACTCATCACCATTAATAGGAACGTGATAGGGTTCAACTTGCTAACACTTAGCAGTTATTCTGATTTAAAGGGATTCCTAAGGATTTCAGATAAAATCAGTTTTCTAGACTTCTAAAAAAACAGATACCAGAAAGAATTGTTATCCTTAAGAGTTTTTAGGCTGCACTACTGAAAATAGGAAAACCAAATATAAAGAAATATAAAGAAAACCAAATGTGATTAAAAATATAAGACACCTTTAATTACCTTCATTTTAATTGCATTTGGTTTTCCTTTTCATTGTATTTCCCCTGTTTTTATTACTCTAAATAAAAAGGAAGCCATGTGATGGTTTAAGTAACATTTCTAGTTTTTAAAATGTTGCCTACTTGGCACTCATGTTTGGTGAATGAATAGAAGTTCCTTATTAAGCCTACAGAGGGTGAAACTGCAGATCTGTTTCTCACGCTGTTTCCAGCAGATGTCAGTCTGTGGGTTGGTCAGGGCTGCTCCTTTGGTGAGGATCCATGACCTTTACCCAGATTTCAACATCAGTTTTCCCTTTCAGCTTGTTTGGAGCTCAGGTACTTACTGGGCAAAACCACTGCGCTAGTCATTTTGTCTTGGAAAGAGGAAAAGATATATATATACATATATATATATTTGGCAAATTTTCTTGCATGGAAAAACTTCCCAATTTTTGTGACTGCCGGCCAGGATCTGGGATGGGAGAGTTGGACTTGTGGGTTGGACTGTCTCATAAGTCCTCTTAGGCCAGAAGCCCTGCCAGATGGGAAGCTCTACGTTAGGGGGGCAGCACCTGCCGCCTAGGCTCCCTGTCATAAGTGAGCCCACATGGTTCCTGGTCACGTGGAGGGTTCCAGAAGAGCCTGACCTCACATCCTGGTTGTGCCAGCTGTCAGCTGTGGGATCTCAGTCCTTAACTCCTGTGGCTTCATCCTTCCATTAGCACAAGGGGGGCAGTACTGCCTTGCCCGTGGTGGTGGGGCAAGCACCTGGCACATAGTAGCTGCTTAGTGAATTAAATGCTGTGATTGTTAAAACATACCTTGGACCGTGGAGCAGGACTGAAAGGGCAACTGCAGAAGGAAGTAAGTCCAGCAAATTCTATGGTTTTTAATCCACTGTGTTCTCAGTTTCAAGAAGCAGGAAGAAGCAGGCACTGAGCCCAATTGGTGGCTTTGTGTTTGCTAAGTGTGGGGTTTTGCTGAAACAGCACCTGCTCTGTGGCACTAATGGTCTGAAGAGCCAGGGACTCCACGTGAGCGCTTGGGATTCAGTTCTTACAGTTGTTCCAAGCAGGCAGAGAGAAAAGACACCCTCTTCTGCTGACAGCCTGGCTGGTGAGCGGTGGAACCAATTGTGGAGCCTATTAAGTGGATTGGGGTGGGATAAGAGTTGTCTGGTTTGTGTGTTATTAGCGAGTAGGGAAATTTGTGAAATCCAAGCTATTTTCACAATACTGTTGGTGTTTGTATATATTATATATGTGTTTGTATATGTATGTGTGTTAATTAGTAATACTTCTAATTGACTTTATTTACTAATGACAGAGGAAACCCAAATCTCAAAAAATAGATAGTTGACAGCCTGTAATTTGACTATTATACTTTTGTAAAGCAAAAAGTTTTTTTGAGAAAAAAAAAAAACACACAATGGAGAAAATACGTGGATTTGATTGAAGTTTTTTCTTTGGGTTTCTAGAAATTAATAATTTTTATGACTAAAGTCATATTTATCCAGTATTATTTGATAAATATGCCAGGGATTTAACTGGGCCAAACCCTGTTCGGCTGTTTTTTACCTTGAAAGTTGGGAAAATTATATCATTCTGTACCAGAATAAGCTGGTATTTCAGTGCATGTTAAGTGGTAAGATCTTTTTATTTCCTTGAGACAACTTATTAAATTAAAATAATTCCCTGCTCTGATGGGGAGACTGTAGTATTATTTATTGACTCAATAATTCCTCCCCTCCAATGCTGAAGCACCTCGTTTGAAATGTAACATCAAAAATAAAACATGTGATTTCTCCCCCCTCCCTTCCTCCTTCTCCCCCTCCAGATGGTGGAGGACTGTTGGAGCCGTACTATTTCTGTACAGGATCTTTAGTTAAACCTCAAGACCTCAGCCCAGTGTGAAGGTGCTCAGTTAAGGAGCCCTACTCAGGGCGAATCCATGGCTACCCCCAGGCTCACCTCCATCCCTCATGTGTATTAGAAAAGCTGCTTAGTGTGAGGGTGCAATCTTCTCTACAGCTTTCACTGGGTGCAAAGTTCTAAAGACAGTGGGTCGGAGTAATTAGACATTTAGAAATGGGAGTGGGGATGGTCCCCATCTCATCTGTGGAATGACCGTAGGAACACTGAGGCAGGAGCCCTGGCGTCTGTCCCGTCCCTGACCCTGAAAAGCAGGATCACTTCCTTGTCTGGAAAATAAGGGCCCAGGCTTAGCTGATCCTGGAGGCTGTTGCCAGCTCTGGTTCTGCCTTCTGAGAAATGAACTTTATGGTTTGCTTTATCAAGAAGTATCTAATCACACCAAGGAATAGAGTGGGTATTTGTTGTTCTCAGAGTCATAGTGCTGATTTGTCCAGGGCACTGCCCGTTCACACACCCTGTTGTAGATGAGTTAACACCCGTTAATGATTCTTAGCACCCACTTTGACTTGCAGAAATGTAAATGATAAATTATATGGCCACTTTAATCATTCAGAAAAGGGTTCACCCTGTCTTTTAAAGAATATTCCAGTACACTAAGATATGTAAACATTAAAAATATCTTATAACTTTTGGTTGAGGCATAATTGTTGTACAGTGACCTGTACTATTTGAAGTGTACAACTTGATGAGTCCACACACAAACACACCACCTATTGAAACTGTCACCGCAGTAAGGATAACAGTTTTGTTATCCCCCAAATTCTCTTAGTCTTTCCCTCTCTATCCCCCACCCCCAAGCAAACATTTCTATTTTTGCAGATTTGTTTTTATTTTTTTTAGAGTTCTGTGTAAATTGAATAATGGTGGAATGTTCTTTGCAAAAAAATGTCTGTTTGCTTTGGTGCAGCATAATGATTTTGAAAATTTTCTTCTCAGGTATATCAATAATATGTTCCTTTTCCATAATTTGTTGATCAATTTACCTGTTGGTGGGTGTTTGAGCTGTTTCTAGTTTAGAGCTATTGCAAATAAAGCTGTCATGAACATTCATATACTAGTATATGTCTGTGTGTGGATGTGTCTTTTCATTTCCCTTGGGTAAATGCTTAGTAGCAGAATTGCTGGGTCATATGGTAGGTGTATGTTTAACGTTTTATGAAACTGCTCAACTGTTTTCCAAAATGCTTGGAACATAACATTCCCACCAGTAGTGCATAAGAGTTCCAGTTGCTCCACACCAGCTCTTGGTGTGGTCAGTCTTTTTATTTCATATGTTCTAATAGATACATAGTGATATTTCATTGTGGTTTTAATTTTCATTTCCATTCCCATGGTGACAAATTATGCCAACATCTTTTCATGTGTTTATTGGCCATTTTCTACCTCAGCTTTTTCTAGAAGTTTTGTAGTTTTAGGATTGTGATTGATGTACAGTTAATTTTTGTGTAATGTGAGGTAGGAATTAATATTCATTTTTTTTCACATGATCAATTTTTCCAGCAGCATTTGTTGAAGCGACTTACCTTTCCCCATTGAATTACCTTGATACCTTTGATACAGGTCAATTGACCATGTATTTGTGAGTCTATTTCCAGACTTTCTTTGTTCCATTGATCTATATGTCTACACTTACCCTAATGCCACATTTTATTGATTACTGTAAATTTACAGTATGTATTGAAATCACATAGGGCAATTTCTGTAACTTGTTTTTTCTTTTTTTTATCTCTCTTTTTTTATCTTTGTTTTTTTAAAAATATATATTTTATTGATTTTTTTACAGAGAGGAAGGGAATGGGATAGAGAGCTAGAAACATCGATCAGCTGCCTCCTACACATCCCCCACCGGGGATTTGCCCGCAACCAATGTATGTGCCCTTGACCGGAATCGAACCTGGGACCCTTCAGTCTGCAGACTGACGCTCTATCCACTGAGCCAAATCTTTCGGCAACTTTGTTCTTTCTTAAACTTGCTTTTATTTTAAGTTCTTTGCATTTTCATGTGACTTTTAAAATTAATTTGTCAATTTCTAAAAGAAAATTTCTCCTAGAATCTTGATTGAGATTGCATTGACTCTATAAATCAGTTTGTGGAGAATGATATTTTAATAGCATTGAGTTTTCTCTTGAATGTGATATATCTGTGTTTATTTAGCCCTTTTAAAATTTCTCTCAGAAAGTTTTATAATTTTCATGTAGATATCTTTAAATCTTTTGTTAGATTTATTTCTATGTAGTTTATTTTTGTTTCTATTAAATGAAGTTTAAAAAATTATTTTCCAGGTGTTTACTGAAAACATATAAGAATATAATGGATTTTGTGACTTTGGAAAATAACTTATTAGTTCTAGTAGTTGTTTTGTAAATCCCCTAGAAAATTCTATATAGACAGTCAGCATATGCAAATAGGGACAGTCTTAATTCCTCTGACCCAGATGCCTTTTATTTCGTTCTTTTGCCTGATTGCCAGGGCTGCCAGTACAATGTTGAAATAGTGAAGCAGCAGACCTTTCCTTTCTTCCAATCTTAACAGGAAACAATTCAGCTTTTCAGTGTTAAGTGTCATGTTAGTTATAGGCTTTTTTTTTTTTTTTTTAATTCTCACTTGAGGACATGCTGACAGGGAGGGAGGAAGGGAGGGAGGGAGGGAGACATCGATTGGTTGCTTACCACGTCCTCCCAGCTGGGGATTAAAGCCAGAACCCAGGTACATGTGCCCTGCCCAGGAATTGAGCTGGCAGCTTTTTAGTACATGGGGTAGTACTCAACCAACTGAGCAACTTGTAGGCTTTTTATAGGCACTGTTTATCAGTTTGAGGATTTCTCTCTCTCTCTCTCTCTCTCTCTCTCTCTCTCTTTTTTTTTTTTTTTGAGGATTTTCTAGTTTGCTGATAATTTTAATTATGGATATATGTTGAATTTTGTCAAATACTTTTTTGATATATTAAAGTAATCATTTAGAAAATGATTTTTTTTTTTAAAGGGAAAATTAAGTTGATTGATTTTTCAAATGTTAGACCAACCTTGCAATCCTGAGATTAAGCCCTATTTCTTCATGATGTATTATTCTTTTATTATTGGCTTCATTTTGCTGTTATTTTGTTGAGAATTGTTTTTTTGTTTGTTTTAATCCTCACCTGAGAATATTTCTTCCATTGATGTTTAGAGAGAATGGAAGGGAGAGGGAGAGATAGAGAAACATCAATGTGAGAGAGACACAATTTGGTTGCTTCCTGCACATGCCCAATGGGCACTGGGGATTGAGCCTACAACCAGTGTACTTGCCCTTGACCTGAATTGAACCCATGTTCCTTCAGTCCATTGGCCGGTGCTCTAACCAACCAGCCAGGACTGTTAAAGATTTTTGCATCTATATCCATGAAAGATATTGATCTTCAATTTTCTTTCTTTTGTTTGTCTTTATTAGGTTTTCGTACTTAGGTTAAGCTGGCTTTATAAAACATAAACTAGCATCATAAAATGAGGATCATTGTTCTGATAAAGTTTGGTGTTATTCCTTTCTTAAATTTTTGGTTATAATTTACCAGTGGAACTGACTGAGTGTGGAATGTTTTTGGGATAAAGTTTTTGATAGTACCTTTGAAATTTTTTGATAATGAATTAAAAATTTTAATGGATGTAGGTTTTTTTTGTTTCTAATGTCTATATAGACATCTTATGTATCGATTTCTGTTTGTTGGAGGTAGAGATATAAACTTCCTGAGAGAAGGAATGACCTGGGCCTTGTTAACTCCATATCCCAGTGCCCCAGAGCCACACGTGGCACAAAGTAGACATTCTATAAATAGTCTTGGGTTAATTGGTTTGTTGTTGCTGTGTATCTATCCCTTGGCTCTTCTGGCTGGGAAGCTTTTGTGTCTGCTCCATCCACATGGGACTGTCACAGCTGAGCCATGACAAAGGGAGGTGCCTACGAAGTCAGGCCAGCTGGCCTTGGCTGACCCGCATGTCATGCTGCCCCTGTGGCTGCTCAGATATCTGGTGATTTGTCCACAGCCCTGGGAGACAGATCCTCTGGGTTAGAGCTTGCTGAAGGGAAAAAATTACAAAATTTTTCTGTTTTAGTTTTTTAAAATGTTAAATCCTGTGGTTGGAATGAAATTTTTGAGATATATTTGAAATACCAGAGGAATATAGGAAATTTAGTCAGAGGAAAGGGGTAAACTGGTTGAAGCTTGAGAAGGGGGTTATAGATGAGAAGGGTTTTCCTGAAAGGTGGTGACTTTGCGTGTGATCTACCTGCCTGCTGGAAATGTGCTTTGAGATCCTCTTTCCTGGATCATTTACAAATAAAAGCCCCCGACTGAGTATATCGGTTACATGGGGAGTTCAAGGCAGGCTGATTTGGACTGGGCATCTCTGAGAGGACATGACTGCTGTGACCATGTCCTCCATTCAGACCCCCAACATCTGGAGGGGGCTGGCTTTTTGTGCACTTGCAATAGCACCAGAGGTTGGGTGTGGGAGCCAGGCTCCCTCATCAGAGCTTGGGGCAAAGGAGAAGAGGATGACCACGCTCCTGGTCCTGTCTCCTTCTTGGGTTGAGATGCGAAGGATACAGGCTCCCATGCTAGAGCGCTGTGTGCATGTGCTGGCACTCACGGCTCCCCAAGCCACGTGTGTCATTGGGTGGGCACTCCATCCCTTGAGGAGGGAGCTCCATGGGCCACTATGTTTCCTGGACATGATGATTTGGCTAAATCTCTTCTGGCCCAGACATGTTCTATAAGCAGTGTGGCCTTGAGGAGTTCCCTATCTTCTCTGGGCGTTTATTTCCCAATATGAGAAAAGGGAAATTTTTAGAACTAATGGTCATCCAGTTACAGACATATGTGTGTCACCTCACCGTCCAGCTAAACCTGACCACGTGACAGTCATCAGCTGTGAAGAGAACTGGCTCAGATCCAGCCATCCTTGATTGTCTCCTCTTACAGCTTTGTTTCACAAGCAACGAATTTGTTTTTTTATTTTTTACTTTTATGTGAAAAAACATGTCTATAGACATTTTCCTTAGACTTAGTTCTGGGGAGAGGAGATGCCTGCCCCTTTTGTCTTGCATGATGGTTCATCTGGGAGGGGTGAGGCCATTTTATGGCCATGTTCCTGCTGAGGATTCTGCTCCTGCTGGCCTTGTTCTTTTCCTAGAGCAAAGCTTGAGAGCATCCTCACACAGCTAGCAGTGGCATCAGCGTGGGGCGTGGCCTTCTTCCCAGACAGTTAAGCTTCCAGGCTGAATTGCAGTCAAGTCCACAAGGTGAAACTACATAGAAATGTTCCTTGTGAAACGGGTATGTTAGGGGAATT